GGCCGCCGCGGAGGCCACGGATGCCGTCTGTATGAACGCGGCCCTACTCCGTCCAAAAAGTTTCGAGCCGTACCTCATGCAATAGAGCTGGATGGCTCTCCCCTTGCACTGGTGTAGCCAGACATTGCTCCTTCTAACTGCGAGTTGCCTCCCGCCTCATATGGACGAGAAAACCTCCACAACCCGAGCCCAAGTCAAAATTGAGATGATGTCCAACTTTGCGTGCGCCTGCATTGTGAAGCGATGGCATCCATGAGGTGCTCAAAACTGGCAAGAACCCCGCAGTAACATTGCTGTACAATTTTGATCTTACACGCCTCTCTATAAAAAGAAAGCCCAATTTGAAAAAATGTGACAGAACTTTCCCGCCAACCTAATATATCTCCACAGGAATAATACCTTGAGCGTCTTCAGCACTCGATTTCGAGCCGCATTCGGAACCACCTTGGTGCGAGCCTTCATCCAGGTCGCAATTCAACTCCTCCGCCATCCCACGAAATCTTCTCCGATCTAAACATAGCTATAAAGTTTTGATATTGGATTACAAAACGCACAAATTTCATCCTCAACATCAACTGAATTTTTCAAAACCTAATGATAAGTAAATTCTGTGTGTTTTGACGTCCATTTTCTCGTCGTAATTGGTTGCTCTCGCCAAACATCACAAAGCAGCTTCAATATCATATTCCGCATAATCATTTCACAACGCCTAATTCCTAGCCAGTATAGGACACCTACCACTAATAGTGCACAATTTAAATGAAATATTATGATAGACTAGATGCTCTAACTCTGGTAGCACCATTTTCCGCTAGATGAATATCGAATAACGAAAAACGTCCTTCACCAGGGTAGCGTGAGAATGTTCGAGGCACCAAAACATTAAAATCCTACCGCTCCTAAAAGAGTCCTACCGCTTCGCAGTGTTCGAGCTTAGAAAGAAAAGTCTCGAAAAAACATTGAACACTCAACACCCCTGCCAATTCAGGTGTCTTATGGTTGAATTATTTAGGTTCAAACAGCTTTAAATTTCAAGATATGAAAACCAAAATTGCTAGAGTACGTCTCAAGAAAGCGATTAAGCGGTCACCCTGGCAAGGATGCAATGCTGTGATGGCACATATGCAAGTTCTAGAACCTCAATTTGGCCAGAAATTTGATCCTTTGGGGCATCGATTAACGCGAGAACGCATGGTGGCCTGCTATAGGCGCGTTCATATACCCCGAAGAAATGAAGTAACGGGAGAACTGGCGGAAAGGAAGATAGAAAGTGATTACTTGACGCCCCTCCTTGCAACGCCTTCGAGCTTTTGCTGACCTTGCAACTTCTCTTAAAGGCAGTTGGCACGATGATTTCCTACTTACCAGGAAAGGTCAACAGGTCGCCATGGCCATTCAAGATGGGATGCATATTGCCGTGTGCGTCTCGGGGCACTGAACTCGAATCTGGTTTCAGAATTTGCTGAACGATTCTCTAGGAGGAGTTAGGGGGGGGGGGTTGCTCTAGCATAGCACTCGCCGATCCTCCTTTGCGCAGCTCAAGTTAAGTTTGAGGCCATGATGTGTCAAGTTGTCGATGGTGCAGTGGATAGGTAAGTTGCCTCATATGAGCGTCATGGGTTCGGTTCTGTACAAGTCTCGCATTTTTGCATTTTTTTCCCCCCCCCCCCCCCCCTGCCCGAACACTTCTGTGAGTTCAGAGAAGTACTTCTATCCGTTATTTTGTCAAGCTCGGCTTACTTGCAGCAGTGAAAGATTTGCCGGCTATGTGCTTCGCTTTCAAGACTTTTAGGCAGTGTTTACCCTTTACTGCCCAAATCACCCGAGATGAGGCCAGTTTTAGACCGACTTTCTTCTTCGTGCGCAGAATTGCCTGAAAGTTGCCTACTAGGGTATCTGCGTTCAAAAATGATTATCACATCCGCTCGGCAGCGAAAACCTCTAGCACCCGTGCCACAGGCGCCAGCGCAAAAATACCCTAAATCAACAAGTTCGTTGAAAACTTGTCAACTGTGGAGCAGATTGACCTCCTAAATCACATCTGTGTGGGGCGCCGAGAATATTTGGGATAGAGATAAAGGGTAGTGTGATTATGCAACCTGCGCCTGCGCCCCTCCCCTGAGAAGGGGCACTTTCTCTGCTAAGGTGAGCCCGCACACGAAACGACTGGGAGTCTGTGCACAAGCGATTTTGATCGGAACAAGCATTGTGTGGGCTGGCTTGCGGATATGGTCAGGCAAGTTTCATGTGTACGGATATAGATACCATGTTTAGCGGGTCAAACTACCCAGTTGACAAGTTTTCAACGAACTTGTTGATTTAGGGTATTTTTGCGCTGGCGCCTGTGGCACGGGTGCTAGGAGGTTTCCTGCTGAGCGGATGTGATAATCATGTTTGGAAGGGCAGATTACCCTAGTAGGCAACTTTCAGGCAATTCTGCGCACGAAGAAGAAAGTCGGTCTAAAACTGGCCTCATCTCGGGTGATTTGGGCAGTAAAGGGTAAACACTGCCTAAAAGTCTTGAAAGCGAAGCACAATAGCCGGCATAAGTCTTTTCCTGCTGCAAGTAAGAGCAAGCTTGACAAAATAACGGATAGAAGCATTCTCTGAACTCACAGATGTTCCGAAAAAATGCAAAAATGCGAACTTGTCAAGGAACCGAACCCATGACCTTCCATATATGAGGCAACTTACCTATCCACTGCACCGTCGCGAACTTCTGACACATCATGGCCCCTAAAACTTTAACTTGGTGCTGGCAAAGGAGGATGGCCGAAGTTGCTAATGCCTTAGCAACGACCCCCCCCTAACTCCTCCTAGAGAATCGTTCAGCAAATTCTGAAACCAGATTTGAGTTCAGTGCCCCGAGACGCACACGGCAATATGCATCCCATCTTGAATGGCCATGGCGACCTGTTGACCTTTCCTGGTTAGCCTAAAAGCCGCTAGTACGCTGCCGTGTTTGGTGGTAAAATGTCGAAAGAACGGAGTGTTGATAATCGAGATCAAAGTCTGCTAGAAAAGCCTCGTTCTTCAGTGACTTGTAAGATTATTTCGGACGAGTATTCCCCGTAAGCATCTTTCCAACTGCACCTAGTACTGAGTTACGGCCTGCAATATATGTAACTCATGTATGGCATGTAGCATCACAGGCAGCTTCTAGCAATCCTGCGTTAACATTTTGACTGCAAATGAATGAAACTGGAGCGTCAGGAAACGGTTTCCATTTCGTCCGCGAGGAGGGACGTGGCGTGGTGTTTTTAGGACGTAAGTTGTGTCGTGTTATAGGACCTTATAAGAGACTTCTCAGGGAAGACCGCACTGTGCGCGCCTGCCAGGGATACGCGGAATTCTTATCCTGCCGGAGAAATATTTGCATCTAGTCGTCTTGTAGGGGATCATGTGCCAACTCCTTGTGTCTCTTGCGATTCTTCACATTCCGGGAGTTGCCAACCTCTTTCCAAGCGCGGGGGACTAAATAACGTTCTTATTGACTTTCTTAATGAATTTGCCGTTTCTCGATTCGTGATTCTCAGACTTTCCGACATCGATAGCGTATAGAATACCTTTCTCGGAACTCGCCATTTTCAAAGCTGAGGTATAAATAGGGCCTATCAACAAAAAGTGGCATTAGTAAGTTTTAGTAGCAATTGCTGGTTTTTTATTAATAACACTTTCCGAATCACCGTGAAATTTTTATTGGTCCACGCCACATTGTCACTGTGATATAGAGGAATTTTCGAATAGCCATGTTTGCGCATATCCGTGTTCATACGCCTAGAAGAGTCGAAGATTTTGCGGAATGGGGACAGTCGCGGAATCGGGAAAATCTCGAAAAGAGATCGAGATGGGTATACCATCTCGCTTTGCAACCATTCCAATAAAAAAGTAAAAAAAAAATTGCTACACTAGCCTGGGCCTTAGATCGCGTATTTTGATACATGGAATCAGAAATCGGAAAACCGGAAGCATTATAAACGTATCACCCTTCTAGGCAGCTTTTTTGTTGATTCTCCCGGATGCTGCGCGATGATGCTATCCCCAATATCTTCTACATATTCCTGTTCGCGTTCTTAAAGGGTTATGGATGGATGCCAGTAAAGTGGCCGATCGTAATGATGACATAGATCAAGGGACGTCGGTTTTGGGCGCTGGTCGAATCTGCTTCAAATTATGCAGATAGTTCTCCGACTGGTGTACAGAGCTTTTCATCCGACTTTTCAAGGTAACGACCAGCGCTTGGGCCTCTTGTGATCTACAAGGTTTGGGTGCACATGCGCCCGTGGCGCATGCAAGCGTCTTCGCGCTGAAGCAGTGTCATATTTGTATTAGCGAGTGAAACCACGACCGGGTACAAGTTTCTAGCCATATCTGCCCCACCTGACTCCAAAAAGTGAAGCATCCATGGGGTATAATTCACTCCCACACCTATTAAGATGCATTCTCCTGGACAAAGCCTAATTTTGCGCGTTCGTTCAGTTATTGGTCCAGTTTTCCTGAAATTTAAAGTAAATTCCGCCCAAAGACAAGTAACACTCAATCGCCAGACCGGTCCTAGAAGCAATGGTGACCATCATCACACCACCTGCTGCCTCACTTTTTTCGAAATTAAGTCAAAACCTTACATTTGGCTAGAAATCCGCCCCAAGGGTATTTTTGCTCGCTGGACGCGAAAGGACACCCATTTAACACGCAAGGACTTTCGGCGCGCTACGAGCACCTGCACGCAAATTATTTCTTGTAGGACGTAGGCGCCCAACCCTGCAAGACTACTTGGGTCAGTACTGGATTAATGAACTGCGATTGCATCAACGCTTGAACGTGCTTTTTATAAACAAAAGAGACTCTTGCATATAATGCGAAAGCCTATCCTCCCCTCCGAAAAAAAAATTTCGATACTCATCTCACGACTGCTGCCACTGGCAACGGATGCGCGTCGCGCTTATTCTTGCAAATTGTCTGGCAACGGACCGTGTTCCTCCATTCAAAGGAACCTTTGTCCTCCGTTCAGATAATCGTTCTGCAAATTTTAAAGGCAGATTTGGGATTAAGGTCCAAAGACAAGTCCTTTTGTCTATGTTTCATTAAATGGCCCTTCGACCTAGCAACCATCGTTTCTGGTTAATAAATGCGGTAGATCGCATCCTGCAAATGACTGACCAAGTGCTGGGTTACTTGGACCTCAGGAATAAAATAAATTGTCAAAAACATCCTCAAGAGTGCGTTCATGATTTGCAGCAGCGTTTTGAGCGCCTGTCGCGTTTAGCACATAAGAGATGTTCAGATAACGGATCACCGTTTCTAAACTCCTCCAGTTTGAGCGCTCCTGGAGCGTGGCACAAGGCGCTTGGAGCGCTTAAAAAAGTTGTGTAATATCGACCGGGGGGCTGGAAACGCGGCTTAAGATGCTACACAGAGGGTCGCTTCAAAATGCTGACGCATATAAGTCTTCATCCAACCGTAAAAACAGGGTAACAGGTGGTCAAGTCT